AGGCGTCAAAGAAAGGTCGAAACTGAGGCTACAGGGTACTAAAACTTGTATAAGAAAACACTCGAGGTTGCTCTTTGATTCATGAGTTCGATCTGCGCATACGCCATCACGCTGCTCGAATAGTGTGCATCATTGCGTAGAATCAGTAACGAAGACTGTAATAGCCCGTCTGTTTTATCTGTACGGCAAGATTCATTTGTCGTAAACATTTGATTAATTCGTTATTTTCTACTTTTCATTATTTGATAGTCGGCAAAAGTTTCAATTTTTTCGGCAACCAACCAATTTAGGTATGGGCTCTGCACAAAGCCAGGAAGAACAGCCAGATGTAGTCCGTATAGATAGGGATGAAATTCCTGAGGAATACAAGTAGGTGATCCGAGTTTTACGTTAGAGCATGAAAATACTTAGAGATAATTTGATCTGTTTCAGAACTGTTGGAGTATCTTCCGATGTGGTCAAAAGAGTAAATGCTCAAACCGGTAGTGGAAGTTCTGAAGCAGAGCGGTTGAAGTACTGTTATATGTTTTTATCTTTATCTTTTTGGCTTCTTTAATGTCATTGAAAAGCTAGACTACTGTTTTATTTTGCCAGGGCATGTTCTATTGCAGTAATACTTTGATTATTCGCGAATATTTAGGGATGAGCTAGCCCATGAACGACTGGAGAAGGAACGCTTGAAACGAGAGATGTCTTACCTTACGGAGTTGCAAGCAAGACAGGTGGCTCATCTACACTTTTGATTTCTCCTTAATTTTGAATTTTCTAGTTTATTTGATCGTATGTTGTAGCATAACTGTTGCATTTAGTCCACTCTGAATCGGGGACGTGCTAAGGGGCTCATCAAAACATTATTCGGAGTCGACTACCCTTAGTTGTGTTTAACCAGCCAAAAACTGCAGGTTGTAGAGGCTACCAGTGGGAATAGTCCACTCTGAATCGGGGACGTGCTAAGGGGCTCATCAAAACATTATTCGGAGTCGACCACCCTTAGTTGTAGTTTAACCGGCCAAAAACATTATTTGGAGTCGACTACCCTTAGTTGTGTTTAACCAGCCAAAAACTGCAGGTTGTAGAGGCTACCAGTGGGAAATGGCTCCTTCGCCAGGAAGTCTAAAGTAATGGCACGAATTGATGAGAATGGTCAATATTGGGCTGTCAATGTAGGGCCAGGGTAGCGGTCATGCGCAAAAAGTTCGGCCTCTAGCCAAGCGCGAACAGGGAGCAGCTTTCAGCCGAAAGTTAATAGCGAATCGCGACGAAAAACACTATTAAATGGAGCAGGGTGAAACGAAACTTTGTAGGTCCTCTGTCAGTCACTTTGATCTCTGAAAAGAATACGATTTCGTTTCATACAATTGGTTAAAGGGTTCGACTAATCATTCCTCTAATGCACTTCCGAATCAGAGGTGATTTTCTTTTGTCATCAATCCATGACTGAAACTCTCTCATGACTGTTTCCGTTATTTGCTTAGCAAAATCACAAAGGTTCAGTAAGACTCTAGAAAAACAGTCAGTTTGTTATACCGTATACCTTTTACGGTAACTGAGGCAACCAACTGAAAACGTATTTCTTCAGCCATCCGACATCACTGGCCACCATTGTATAGGTGACGACATCGAAGAGAGAAAGCGCGTGTTCAATGAAACCGTAGAGAGAGTTGAAAAGAAATTCTTCTCTTATCAACGGGAAAACGTATGCGCCGACCACGAAAAGGTTAATTCCTTCAGACATTTCCTATTTTGCTAATTATTTCTCTCGTTTGACTGTCAAGCACGTCAAGCGGATATTCCAATTTTTTGGGGAATCACCTGAAAGCTCAACTATTTTCCATTTTCAGGAAATCATGGAATGCATTAAAGCAAATCCAAATCGTGTGTTAAACTGTGGCCATCTACTGGCTCCATATGAGAAGTGTGTTAGTGACTTCCGTGATGAGGTTTTAAAAGGAAAGTAGCTTAGATTTTTTAGCGTTTTCTAGGAGATTGCTGTTTTGTTTATTTTTTTAAGAGGTAGTCTGGTCAACGTTTTATGTAATTATAAGACTGCCATAAATTTCTATCGTTTTGTATTGTTCTCGGCGCCGGTTGCGTTTTACATCTGTGAATTCTTGACCAGGTTCACATATTGACACACCTGTATAGGATAAATAGTTCAGATTACTTCGATTTCATGTTGGACACTGTTTACTCACGGTCATATCCCTCTACTCTAATAAAATCACTAACATTTTACCCAAGGTCATAATCATTCTATGTTTGTGCACTTAGTCAGCTTTATGAAATGGCTATACGGCTGTATCATAGTGCTAGCGGTCGGGTTATTGTATTTCCGACCGCTGCTACGTCATCCAAGGACTGAAATCGTGAATGTGTGGACACTAACGTCTTCCTATACTCCCACTAACTTTCATAGGTACGCAGAGTTTTCTTTACCATGATCAAGCCATTGTTCTTGGGTAAAGGATGGGTTCCATAGGTACCGGAATTGCTCTCTGTCAACATGCCTTCGATCTCAACGCTGTATGCTTGATTACGGCAGGATATCTGTATACATTCAGCCGATAACAAGGGTTGAAGATGAGGTAGGTTGCAGTTTCACTTGTAGTTGTAGTTTTATTGAATTTTATCTTGAACCATGAGATAATCGAACCCCGGCTTTTGGGTTATTGCACTTTTCTGAAACGGTTTCTGCGTCTTTGTTTTTTCCTATGCATGGCTTTTTCAAATTACCATCTTGATAGAACCCCTCCCCCTCCACTGATGACTGCAAGCCTTGCGCCGTCCCTTGCACATTCTTTATTTTGCAGAACGGAAATGTCCTAACGCCCATTCCATCGAAAGAGTTTTATGCAATCCGAACAATGCTGCTGCCTTATTCTGTTTCGGATCATCAACAAGCATGCATATTCTTCCCTGGGATCGATTTTCTCAATCTTCACCGTTTTCCTAGCATTGATGCTGCCTGTGCTGTGGCAAATATGCTCAATGAAAGGTGCGTCAAACCAGGGGCTCCAGCATCTATGAAGAAATTATTGCTTCTGTTGTTGCAATGGAGAGATTTACATAACTTTCCATCTTTGCAGATTCTACAATGTTTTAATGTTAACTATAATTGGACAGTGGAATCAAAGTTATCGCCACATATTGGCCAGGTTCGTGTAGGGTGTTCCTTTCTGACAATGAGTTCTTATGACTTTCTTAGTTCATTCATTCCTAGGGTCCACCTTAATTCTATTCTAAATGCAATGTTTTCAGCCCTATTATCCCTCTTCATCAATATCGCCATCGCTTGGATATATCCCTACC